GTTCCAATTGATTCTCTTGCAACTGCATTTCTCTTTTTCTTCTCTCTGAAGCTCGAGCCTCCTTAACTCTACGGGGCCCCCGAGTGGCCGAGTGGTTTAAAGCGCTGTCCGTTACGGATCACTGCCATCTCACCTCTGTCTGCGTGTGTTCGAGTCTAGGATTCGGCGAATGTGGATATGTGAGAAAGCTTGCCAGTGGGTGGTCGGTGGTTCTTTCCGGTGATTTCCCGGTTTCTTCCTCCACCATTAATACTAGCCGCCATGAATAGCCTATCGTGTGCTGAAAAATGGCGTTAAGCCCAACAACAACAACAACAACAACAACAACAACAACAACAACCTTAACTCTACTTTCATTTTGAATTTCATTTTTATTTCGATTGCTTTAACGTCATCTTCTGTTACAGACTTACTGTCTGATGCCAAAACACATTTATCAAAATATTTTTAATTTCCCGTTTCGTTAAGGAAGATTTTGGCTCAGAAAGATCGTACTTTCTGACAAGTTCAAGCAACTCATCTTTTATTTAAGACTATCGAACTGCTGTTCAATTAGATCAGAAAGAAAAGTTTCCACTTTTGACAAACAACGAGGTGCTTCAACAGGCCAAAATTCTCAGCATGGTCACACTCCCACGCTTACGTCGCATCAGATGGCTGTGCCATGTGCGTCGAATGGACGGATCCCCAAAGACCTTCTCTACTCTAATCGGACGGCCACATCTTCGCTTCAAGGATGTCTGCAAGCACGATATGAAAGCTATTGGGATCGAGGTCAACACATGGGAAGAGCTTGCCCTCGACAGGTCCAGCTGGCGACAGGCTCTGTTCACAGGTCTGAAAGCCAGCGAGGAAAAGTCACGACAGCTCGTCGATGAGAAAAGATCTCAGAGGAAGAGGATGCAGTTCCAACCAAGACCTGACTCAAACTTAAAGTGCAGCAACTGCAGCAAGGATTGCCACTCCCGTGTGGGGCTTTATAGCCACAGAAGACGCTGCACAACTACAAACTGGAACACCTTCCATGGGCGCATTTCCATCGTTTCTCGAGACTAACGGAAGCCAACACAACAAAGTTGTCTACTGGTAAGCTCATGGAATTCAGAAATTTCCTCGACCTTAAATTATACTGGTTTAACTTGACCGTGTCTAACAATATGTCTTAAAATGTTAGCAAAAACAATGTGTCTTTTATGCTAAGCTCCAGCTATAAAGTCATGTATAAGATCTGTCTTAGGAACATTACCGCGGCCATGTGTTTGATGTCTAAGGACTCTTATGCAAGGCTACATCACCGGCCTGAGACCTAAATCTTGAAGCGGCAAAGGCGATAGATCTCACCATCTAAACAAAGGCTTGCAGTTGTCACACCCTAGTGTTAAAGGTTAGTCCAAAGATCAGAAGGAAGTCCTCGTGGTGAAGGAGCGTATTCTTATCCTTCCCCACTTTCACAGACGGCTGGAGGGACATTGTCCGCTGTGTTTGATTAGATCGGTTTACAGCGATATTCAATCAAAAACTGAGATAGAAGGTGTGATTACAATTTAGACCCGAATAGTAACTTTCACAACTCGTAAGAAAACATTTAGTAATCGCCTAGAGGGATTTCAGGTAAATGGATTTATTCCGAGAAGCCACTCGTAATTTGGCGGCAAAACTTAGAGTTAGATTCTAAGGAAAGATAAAGCTTCCAAAAGGTCAGTAAGTTATTATCTCGACTTTTGCAGAATATTAGAACATCATTTTTGTAATTATTTGTAGTATGTATACTAAATTACTAGGATCGATTAGTATATCTAATTACCTTTGTCTTTTTTCACTTACATGATTATTTGAAAAATGGTCTTACATAGAGAATTAATAGATGCGAGGCGGAATTATGTAGAAAGTTAGTTTCTGGTCAGTGTTAATTCTGTAAGTTGCTATTAGTTTACTTCGTAGTAAACTAGTGCATTTATTAAAGCGTTATGTTTGAATTTACATATGTTCGATTTGTGAATTTGGAAACATGGTTGATGCATGTGAGAATATTTACTATGGATGTATGCGTATATCAGAGCATTGATATTTGAATATTTGTTTACTTTGTATGAACCGAAAGGTAAAGAAATGCGTCTGATTATTGTGAAATTAATTAGTATAAGTTTTAGGAATACTTACTGATGTGACGGAATTTATTGATGTTTATATAAGAAGCAAATTATATCGTCCTGTATTATGACTTTTGTTTTACCATGCAAGAACGCAATGGTACCTCGATGTGAACTAATGCGTGATCTAAGTAATGTAATAGCCTTTCTCTGATGATAGTCTGTGTGTATTGTGAGATGAGAGAGCTAAGGAAAAAAGATTTTACTGTCCTTATATTATCACGGAAAGTTTTATAGGAGACAGAACTTCGGGTTCCATTGGGTCCAAAGTCTTCAATAGTTGCAGACGAAATTGAAACTGAAGTCGACAGAAGGGTAGTAGTGAAAGTGGAGAAGAAGTCTAGAGAAAGTCGGGATGGAGGAGGAGTTGAAGGAATTTGGAGAAAAGTCAGGGAGGAAGAGAAGAAGGAATTGCGTGAAATAGGATAGAGAAAGGATACATTATATGAGTAGAAATACAAGGACGCTGCTAATCAAGTTATGCATAAGGCTTATTAAAGGGTCGAGCAGAAGGAGTGTAATTGGAAATCTGAGTCACTGGATTATTGTATTTTTATTAAATTGTTCTTCATTAAATTTCCAACAGTCGCCATTGCTGATAGGGGTCTCGGAGCTTTACATCTATATTTTAATAAATTTAAATTCAACAAAACAGAGCCTGGGTGGGACTTCTATAACAGTTTTAAAAAAAAATATTGGGAGCACCCCACCCAAACCATATAGCTCGTCAAAAAAAATCCTCTTAACAAACCACAAATAATAGATTTGTTTGAGTTTCGTCGCTTGTAAGCGGACAAATAGTTTAGTGTATCATCGTGATGATGAAATATTTATAATATCAACGGTTGAAACACTGATAATTTGTGATGTATAAATAATCTTAATAAAATTTTATCTAAACTTAATAAATAATTTTATAAAATCTCAGTAGTAAATTAATAGGCAGATCCTGGATCGGAGACCCAACTCCTCTCAAACAAGTGCGGTCGTCAAATATTTGTTACATAAGATAGTTCTCAATCGTACTTATTTGGCTGGGGGAGTTGAGGTCTTGGTCGCTGTCTATTAGTTTGCTACTGCAGACGAAGTACAAAATTACATTATATACATTTTAAATAAAGAAGATAACTATATCTATAATTTCATTACTGCATGTACAGCATTACATTCATTTTGTTGATTTGATACATATTTATACATACTTTACATTTACTTTTTGCCGATTTTTCATAAACCCATTTATGCAGAACTTAAAACAATATCCGTTAAATGAATGACCCAGAAATCTGATCAAAATTCCACGATGACATCATTTTTCAACGACTGTTAAAATAAAAATTTCAAGGTTAGGCACTGACCCTGGGTCAACTTTCGACGTTGAAAGCAGACCCGGCGGGGTCAGGATTCAACATGGTCAAAATTTAATACAATACCGGTAGCAACCTTTAGAGATCAGACACAAGGCCTTGGTAGTATCCCCAAGACAAGTAGATTATTGCTTATACATGACTTATGCTGGTTGCTTAACAGACGTGACAATTGTTTATGCTGTATAAGATGAATTTTCACTTTATTCGGCATAAGGCTGATCAAAAGTTTTGAGAATGAGGATTATCATAACAGCATATAAGTATAAATTGTCCTATCAATATCAAGGCAGAATTATAGCAGTGTTAGCTGGAATACACGTTAGGCTTCCATGGGATGTACAACACAAGTTTTAAGTCATGTTGGCAAGTAATAATACTCTGTTTAGAGTATAGGGGACAAAATGTGCATTTTACTGGGGACGTTGAAACAGTCTACTGTAGTGATGTCATTGTATATTTTGAACGGGGGGGGCATCAGCATCAAGAGAGTGCCTAATTAACAGTACCTTCAACTGGATATTGGATGACATAATAAACAAGCAAACATGCTCATTTTTGTGACTTGCTTATCAGCTTGTATATTTTGCCGATAATAAGTAGAAACATGCTTACCGTATCTTGCACAATGATCAACATATCCAATGTTCACAATCCATCGTGTCTCGTTTAGGCCAAACGTAGCTACGATGTCGTATCGTAGCCTCAACTTTTTTTTTTTTTGTGTCCACAACGTAGGACTAAGGTACTAATATTAGTACTAGGACAAACCCAACAAATGAGGGTTGTGCAATGATTATCAAATATAAATATTTTAATAATCTAACTTAAAGAGATGGTGGAGTAATCGTTTTCTTTCTTTCTTTCTTTCTTTCTTTCTTTCTTTCTTTCTTTCTTTCGTTCTTTCTTTCTTTCTTTCTTTCTTTCGTTCTTTCTTTCTTTCATAGTTAATACTCCGTCCATCGATCGTTCTTTCCGCTCTGAGTATTAATTTCCTTTCCTCTCAAAACTACAATATTGTATCAAGCTGGTATATAGAAGTTGAAAACCAGTCTTCACTTCATTGACCTTGAGTGTCAAATATGGCTACACTTGCTGCTCCGAAGAACGTTTCCCCCCTTATACGAGTAAGTATACTTGCAGTATAAAATATGCTTGATTGATGAACCTCATAATATATTAAAAGTTTACTACTCATATTAAATGTTCCAAATTTTGTGAATTGCCAATAAAGGAAAAGAAATAAAAAAATATCGTACAGTTTTATAGTTAGTTGTTCGATGGTTGATAGGTAACCTACGATCTGTAAATGACCAATGTAGGATGCTTAAAATAATCATCAAAAGCAGAGCTATTTTTTTTTATAAACAAACACATTAAATCTATTAATTATAGCCTCCTACTAATTTATTACAGGTGGAAAAAGGTTAGATTGAAAAATGGTTGCATATTAAGGGTCGTTTGAAGGCTACTCTGTTGTGGAGTCGTGGTGGCCGAGTGGTTAAGGCGTTTGACTCGAAATCAAATGGGCTATGCCCGCACAGGTTCGAATCCTGTCCACGACGATAACTTTTTTTTTTTTTAATTATAAATATTTTAAGTCATTTTCAAATTATGTTACTTATTTCCAAATTGGAATAAATAGTATTTTTGAATAATAATAATAAAAGTGTACTATACATAATGTGCCTTCTAAAATAAAAAAAATGAATTGAGGGAATGCAGTTTATATACAGGGATGAATCTAACATTGAAACTTTGGGTCCCTTATTCCTCAAATTGGGAACTTTTCAATGCAGAGCACATATTCATGGGACTTTTCAGCGCACAGACTTATTGTTTCTAGCTTCCTAAACCTCATCACATTTTTTTTTACATTTTATCTTCAGATGTCTCTTTATGAAAAATAAGAAAATTGAAAGATAAACCAGAATTACCAGTTAGACAATTTTTTTTCTTCTTTTGCCCAAAACATTGCTTGTTTAAATAGTAGTGGTAGTAGAAGCTACAGTTGTTTCTTGGTATTATTAAATAATATGAAACAAATTTATAAATTCATAAATTTATTGATCTAACATAGTAATAGATATGGTAATAATTCTGTTAATTGTTCACAGGTGTTATTGGAATAATGTACACTATGTTCATATAGCACCATTATTTTCAGGTCAAATAAGTTTTCCAATGTGGGTATGTGAGAATGCTTGCCAGTAGATTCTTGTGCGACGGTGGTTCTTTCCAGTTTTATTCCAGGTTCTTCCTCCACCATTATTACTGGCCACCATGATTAGCCTATTGTCTGCTGAAAATTGGCATTAGGCCTTTAAATAACAACAACAATGGAAACCTTTGCAGCATATCAGTATTTACAAAAGCTTAAAATAGAATCTCACCAAAAAACATAATTGATTTTTTAAAGTAAGATAGTTGAAATGTCAGGGTTTCACACTATAGTCTGAATATACCTCCCCGTTTTTTTTGTACCACCCTACTGAGTTCAATAACAGCAACCATTAATGTGATAAAAAGTGCACAGAACTTTGCCAGTTCATTCATTAATTTGTAATTTCTAATCTGTGACCAGTGGCCCAAAGACATGGCCTTCTCTGCACCTTTCATGCTTAACAGATTTTTAATACATCACTCCCTCGATAACTCGCGCACAACAGGGTCCAAAAACATCGATCACATTATAAGCGAGGGCGCGAGTTATTGAGGGACCTATAACAAACAACAAAACAAACAAACAGTTCGACATACACAGGCAAAAGGGGTGGGTGGATTGGTTTGGCATGTTAGTGTTGAATACTCAATAATTGTGCTATGATTAACTATGATTAAATATTTCTTCATAGTGGTGTACTTTGTTTACTTTTGTCATCACAGAGTAACATTAATTTCAGGATAATTACATGATATTGAGGAGATCATCAAAACAATAATCCACACATTTTCCATTGGCTTAACACATGTATGATTTTGCACATTGTGTACTGCGTCACAAATGATTGTGATGAATTGGATAAATTCTTGTTTGATCCAAAGTAGATTTTTTATACACAAGATCGACACCCATTTAAAAAAAACCCCAACACAATATTGATCAAACGACAGGTCGATTTGATTGCGGTAGAAGTAAAATGAATTTTTTTTACAAGGGTTAGCCATTACCAACATCAATTTAATGGGTCTACAAATTTAAAATAATGTAAATTAGAACACGGTAATACTTGAAGTTTGTGACACGTATGACAAATATCACTTCACATTTTCAAAACATCTGCTAATTTTTTTTTTTACTTTTTAATTTCTCTGCCGACTCTGTGTATTGTTCAGTGGTGATTTTCTCTCTGAGCTGGTTTGGATAAATTACATGCGGCTTCCTGATTCGCTAAGCGTATTTCTCCCGACAATGAATTTTGTTTAATTCTATGTCAGCGCTAGAATCTCCAAAAGTGATAAAAAATATTTTAAAAATATCACATAAAAATGTGAAACCATTTTCGACTGGTCAAATAAAAAGAATTTTGAGAACAGTAGAACTTATGCTGCTATCGGCATGCAGCCTTTATTTTTTTTAATTGTACTTCCCTTGCTTGTTTTGATACAAAAGACCTATTCAAAGTGATAAAACAACACCGGTGTCTTTTCGTTGATTTTTGTTTAATGCAACAAACACTTCCCCGAGCTGTTGATCAAAACAAAGCTGGCATTTATTTAGGTTCTCACAGAAGTACTCACGGGTTTCGATGTGACAGACGATTGACTATTTTCATGTTTTCATAGACGAGAATATGTTGCAATTCAAGTGTTTACACTAAAGTGAAATTAAAAGATTAGAAGGTGAAGTTCACATAGCAAGACATTTAAGTTGTGTTTATTTTATTATTTATTGCCACCTCTTGGCATAATATTTCGTTGATCTTGTTTCACCAGAATGATTATTTACAGAGTATTAACAACTTTTTATCTCAAAAATCCCCAAATATAATATGAGACATCTAATTAGAACTTGAAAATTTCATGATATGGAGTCTATCTTTACGGCAATAATCTCCATTTCCGATGATATAATGAGCTACCGTATTTCATGTAATTTTTTGTACCTTTTAATTTTTCTTTTGATTTTTCGTACACAATCCAGTTATCAAAATAATAATTATTTAAATGTATCATAATTATTCGTATAGATCTCTTTTTATTTGAAAAATTGGTTAAGTTATCGGACACAAAATTTCCACTAAGATATATGTTTACAAAAAAGATCGAAAATACCCTATTCCCATTTTGTTTTTACAAATATTAATAATTTATAATTATTTTTTGTGTGTGAAAATTTACATAATTATCGCATATTTTGTTTTCATGTTTAAGACATTTTAAAATATATTTCCTTTGAAAAAAATCAGGAGGCATGTCGGACACAACATTATAAGCGGGTTCGCGAGTTATCTGGGCACGAGTTATTGAGGGAGTAGTGTACTAACACAGCGCCATAATGGGTACATTATTAGCAAGTTTATTTTACTCAGTAACTGCCTGATAATTCTGTAAATTACCATCATGTTTAAAGTTATATCCCTTGCACACTTAAATATGGAAATTACACTGCATGTTTAATCCATTAGAAAAGCAAATTGTTATCATTCTTTTCATTTACTTCATTTGACATTATAAATATTGAAAGTAGATAACATAATCTTGTGTTCAGGTGTCCGATTTGATGATCATAAATACCCTAAATTTTATTGCTGTCTCTGATGTGATTATGATTTTTAACGTAGCTTTAACAATTATTCAGGCATATCATTATGATGTCTGCAGTGTGGCAGTTTATAGTGATGTCTAGCACTGGGGCATAATGCCACAGACATGAAGCATGATGTCCCACCCAGTTACATTATTCCTGACACCAGGCCGAACAGTCCTAACACTAACCTCTTAATGCTGAGTGTCAAGAGAGGCAGCTATTAGTACCATTTTTGTAAGTCTTTGATATGACTTGACTGGGGATCTAGCCTACGACATCTTGCATCCAAGGCGGATGCTCTAGCCACTAAGCCACCGGAGCGGTTTGCTATTTTTGAAATACCCTGCCAAAAATTTACACAGGAACCTGAAAAATAAGTGAAAAATTATATTTGTATTGCCCTGTTTGAAGCAAATTTGAAGCTTAATAGACATATTCAGGACTATTACTAATACATAATAACAGACCTGTTTACCCGACCGTATTTGACCGTATTTGTATGGAATAAAGCCCATCCGTACGGTCATACGGTCATTGAACTGAAAATACGATTTGAGGTTGCATTTATTTATTACTTTTTAAAATAATTTTTTTAGGCCGTTTTTCTTTCCGTTTTGTTTTGTTGTATCGTCTCTTCAGTCCGCATTCGCGTCCGCATTTTGTGCCACGTCACTTATTTTGATATTCTCAACATCCGGTCGTTTAAACAAAGGAAAATGCCGCCGACAAGAAAGTTTCAGCACGAAACTGATGATGAAAATGGAAAGTCTAACACAGAAAGCAGCATTTTCTACCAGTTTATTCTACTCTGTGGCTATGCCTTAAACCATCGTCAAAAGGAGAACATTTTGTGCATTGCACTGTTTGCAACTTAGACTTTTCCTGCGCACATGGTGGAAGGAATGACTGTTCACGGCATGTGGAATCAGGAAATCATACAAAATTGAAATCATTAGTGAATGGAAATAGAAACATTTTGTCAATGATGAAAGGAAAGGAAGTCAGTGATCAAAACATACTTCAAAAACAAATAACACGTGCTGAGGCTATTCTATGTGAGTTGATCGCAAATATGAATTTGTCATTGAGTACAGCTGACAAGTTAACGGAAGCAATGAAAAATAATTTATTAACCTTATTTCCATTCTAGTAAATATTGACAAAGATGATACTAGATTTTATCAGATAAATAAGATTGCCTTCACCTATCTAGATAAGCTTATTATTTTCTAAGTGGATGGGTGGTAACAATGTCTGTCATAATGTTTTATATCAAGTCGTCCTTAACCAAGTAAAATAGAGAATTGGCTTTAATTAAAATGTTATGGATATGTGTGAAGCTGAGAAAACAGAATTTTTAGAGAAAGTAACGGAGGTAAACAACAATAAATTTGGTTATGTTGTATTTTTTTGTGGTTTTTATCACTATAATATGAACAGGATGTTTAAGTCAGTGGTGTTCAATTTCTGCATATTTGTACCTTGAAACACAGAATTAACTGAATACCAGCGTCTTTGCAAACTAAGAGTTATTTACACAATATTGTATAGTCATTATGTCATGTAATACTACATAATGATAATTATAGTATATTGATAGTATCTACTATTTGTGTGCTGAAAATACTGACTGCGGTCTGAAAATACTGACAGGCATTGCTTAAAATACTGACAGGAAAATTTATGGGTAAACAGGTCTGTAATAATAATTTTATCAATATTTCATCATATAAACATATGCAAAATGTGTATTAAGCTTTGAAAGATGTTGCTGATTTTCTGTTATACAACAACTGTGGTGTTGCTAGAAAAAGC